GCGCCCCTCTTCTCCTTCCTGCTCCTCTGCCGGCGAAGCCATGGCGAAGCACACCGTCTCTTCCGCGCGCTTCCGCCGGGTGGACGTGGACGAGTACGACGAGAACAAGTTCGTGGACGAGGAGGACGGCGGGGATGGACAGGCCGGGCCCGACGAGGGCGAGGTGGACTCCTGTCTCAGGCAATATCCTCTCTCTCTCGCTTTGAGGGTGACGTTCCTTGTCCGGACGCGTCCTCCATTTCATGGCCTCCTCTCCAGGAGGAGTTCCGAAGTGTCCTCCATTTTGAGCCTGACTCGGATATGGCTGTATATCCCTGGGAGAGTTCTGAGCTTCTCTTTGGTCATGTCCCTCCATTTGTTTTCTTTTCTTGAAGGTCCTCCATTTTGTGGTGCCTGGTCCTACATATCTGGTCATCCTGGGCTCTGAAGGGTCCTGGTGGGCTCTGAGGCCCATGGCCTCCTCTCCAGGAGGGGTTCCAAAGGGTCCTCCATTTTCTTTGGTCATGCTCCTACATTGGTTTTCCTTGGAAGGTCCTCCATTTTGTGGTGCCTGGTCCTACATATCTGGTCACCCTGGGCTCTGAGGGGCTCTGGTGGGCTCTGAGGCTCATGGCCTCCTCTCCAGGAGGAGTTCCAAATGGTCCTCCATTTTGAGCCTGACTCAGAAGCATGGATATTATATTCCTGGGAGTGTTCTGAGCTTTTCTTTGGTCATGCATGCTCCTACATTTGTTTTTCTTGAGGGTCCTCCATTTTGCCTGGTGGTCCTCCTTGGCGGTGAGGAGGACACACCTGGTCACCCTGGGCTCTGAGGGGGATCTGCTACTGCTGCTGCTCCTTGGCCCTTGCCCTCCTCCTCCTCCATTTCTTCTGCTCAAGAGGATGGATGGTGGCTTTGTTCCTCCTTCCTGTTTTGACCACTAAAATAAGGAATCCTCCCCTTGAAATCTTCTTCCATGCTTTGAAGTTGTTTCCAACTTAGGTTGACCCTATCATTGAGTTTTTTATGGCAAGATTGGGTCAGAGGAGTCTTGCCATTGCCATCCTCTGAGGCTGAGAGAGTGTGACTTGCCCAACATCATCCAGTGGGCTTCATGGCTAAGCTGGGAATTGAACCCTAGTTTCTAGAGTTGTAGTCCAACACTCAAGCCACTATGCCACACTGGCTCTCTGAAATCCTCTTGCAGACCCTAAATTTGTAGCCATGTGTTTCGAAGGCACCAGATCTGGTCCTGGAAGCTAAACAGGGTGACCCCTGGTTAGTACTTGGATGGGGGATCGCCAACCAAGACCAGGTGCTTTTGGGTCATATTTTGGAGGAAGGGACTGGCAAAACCACTTCTTGAGGATTCCTTGCCCAAACCCTATGAAATTCACCCAGTTGCCATAAATCAAGAGGGGACGTGACAGCACACAGGCACATAGTAATTTACAATTTCAGTTCAGTATTTAGCAGTGCAAGTTAGGCATCTAAAGAAAAGAGACAGACAGTGTTAACAAGGGAATGAGAACACAGCAAATATAAGAATTCTAGGTGGGAATGATTTTAAGTGCCTCGCTGTCTGGAACACTAGAAATTTGGGAACTGAAGGAAAATTTCATAGAGGTGGAGAACTCTTACTCACAAGGCCCTCATTTTGTTGCTCTTGGAGCTACACTCCTGACTTGGAATAATAATGTCATAGAGTGCCCTTACAGAACTGGTCTGTGTTTACTTAGACTGTGGTCTCCAGTAATTGTTGTTGCTGTTGTTGTGTGCCTTCAAGTCATTTCCGACCCTTATGGCGACCCTAAGGCAAATTTATCATGGGGTTTTCTTGGCAAGTTTTATCAGAGGGAGTTTGCCATTGCCATCCTCTGAGGCTGAGAGTGTGTGATTTGCCCAAAGGGTTTCACCCACCCAGTGGGGATTTGAAACCTGATCTCCAGAGTTGCAGTCCAGTGCTCAACCACTACACCATGCTGGGTCTAAATATAGAGTAAATATACAGTAAATATAGCAGGGTTTAGTTTTGGCCATCTAAAGGTTTTGGGCTAAAATCAAGCTATTGTCTTGGTAGTCTTGACACCTGCCACGTGTTAATTATGGTTAGGAAATATTGGTGGTCTATCTGTGAGGACTCCTGTAAGGCTTACTGAAGTAATGTACTTGAGATAATCTGAAATTCAAAAGAACCATACATATACCTATTTGCTTAATCACTTTTAGTATTCATTAATTCTCTGCCTAGTTAGGATGGAAACCTGAAAGGTAACTTTGGTCCAAAACACACTGCAGGAATAATTGAGTTTGAGACCACTTTAACTGCCCTGGCTCAGTGCTGGGGAATTCTGGGAACTGTAGTTTTGTGAGACATTCAGCCTTCTCTCATTGATTTAATATATTTTTAAGGGGGGTGATAGGCTTATTTGTATGGGATTGTATTTTAAATTGTAAGCCGCCTGGATAGCCTTGGCTAAAGGCGGGATATAAATAAAATTGTATTATTATTATTATTATTATTATTAGAAGAAGAAGAAGAAGAAGAAAGCTTCACAAGTGTTCACTCTCAAGTAATAGTGCAAAAGACTGTAGCTAAGGTTTCATTATATACTCATGGGAATAAATCCTATCAAACTCAGTGGAATGAAAAGGAAATATGCATATTATCAGCTTCTAAATGCACCTAGGATACCTTACATGTTTGCATGGATCTTTTGGTGTATATAGTATATATCATTGTTGTGTGCCTTAAAGTCATTTCCATCTTATGGTGACCCTATCAAGGGATTTTCTTGGTATGTTTCTTTAGAGAGGATTTGCTATTGCCATCCTCTGAGGCTGAGAGAGTGTGACTTCTCCAAGGTCACCAAGTGGGTTACATGGCTGAGCGGGGATTCAGGAGCCATAGTCCAGCACACAAACAACTACAACATGCTGGGTCTCTATATGGTATATATAGTATATACTGTATAATATATTGTTATCCATTATATTGTAATTAAAGTTATGAGTGATATTACATGTAACACAGATGCTCTGCTAAAGGACTGAGGATAGAGAATAAAGTGCAAGAGTGGGCTGATATTTGAATTAAGTAGTTTGAGCATGTTCCTTACAGCTGTATCTCACAAGATCTTTGCATATACTTCAGCCTGTTGAGAGACTAGGCTCGTCCCTCCACCTTTGCTGGGTTAGGAGCACAGGACCCCCCGCGAATGTGGAAAAACAGCAAACAACGAAAACACTTTTTACTTGAGAGAACCTCTCTCTAAGAATCTCTAGGTCCTCCACTGCAACTCTGTGGTCAGCATCTGCCAGACATTGACCGTAGAATTGTGCTGGAAGAGATACAAATGCCTAGTGGAGTGTTCTCTCTAGGAATCTCTAACTACTTCAGTGCAACTTTTGGTTAAAATTGACCATAGAGTTGCACTGGAGGACCTAGATATTCCTAGAAGTAACATACTAATACAGTACGTGAATAATCAAATCTGCAAATGTGGAGGGACGAGTGTATTTTGACCCATGCACTTTTGAATAGGAGCTTGGGGATAAAAAGGCTGCTACTGTTTCTATCCTTCTAGAACCCATGGATAGACTAGGCTTGCAGGGTCTACTTTATCTTGTATTAGAACTTGCAGTTTCTGTTGTGCACCAAATAGCTCAGGATGGTGGATATACTCTGTGCCCAGCCCAGAACAAACATCTACTCTTGGTTCTCCCTCTCTTCTTTGTTTCAGCAGCTTGGGGGTGTTATAATGGTTCCTGATGTGAGTCATTTGGAAATTAGGCTTGCTGATCTACTACAGATTGACCAGAGCACTGCCAGCATGGGTCATCTGCTTGCCATTGTTCTATAAAGTCATTAATACATATGCTACTCTTTATTATTCCTCACAACAATTCTGTAAAGAGGAACAGAAGTGTGGATTTGTGGCAGGAAGTGTTTTGGGCAAGAGCAAGCCAATTAGGCACTAACAATCTTAATTCTACAAGGATTTCAAACTGCCTCCACCTTTAATACACAAAGCATTATCTCACTTCCTTTGCTTCCCTTCCCTTCCCTTTGCTTCCCTTCCCAAATTCATCTTCCCCAGAGTTCATTACACTCTCTTGGAAGGGAGCAAGCTAAAAGGTGGTGGTGGTGATGGCATTATTATTATTATTATTATTTTACTTTCATTGCTATTAATTCTCTCCCACTTTTCTCCCAGTTCAGGATTCAAAGTGGCTTACAACAAATTAAAAATACTTCATTAAAAATCCACAACATACAAAGGTTAAGAGAAGAATAAACAATCAAAAAATTTCAAATCCAATTTAAAAACATAGATCCTTAAACACCCCTCCCCAGCACAACCATTAGCAAGATCCAGTGTATTATTTTGGTGGGATGGACTTTATATAGTAAATCATCAAACACCTGTCTAAACAGAAAAATCTGTACTTGTCTGTGAAAAGAAAGTAAGGAGGGTGCTAATCTAACTTCTCTGGGAAGAGAGTTCCAGAGCCAGGGGGCAGCCACAGAAAAGGCCCTCTCCCCTATTTCTACTAGATGAGAGAAAGACCTCCTCAGCTGATCTCAAAGCATGGGTTGATTTGTAAGGGAAAATACAGCTCTTCAGATAACCTGGACCTGAGCCATTTAGGGCCATAAAGGTCCAAACCAGGGAGTCATGTGTTCCCTGTAGCCAGGCAAGGTTAGCAAATTGGCTGCAGGTCTTTGGACCAGCCCAGACCATTCAGAGCATGTTACAGTAATCCAATTGGGACTAACAGCCTGAATCTGCACTATAGAAATAATGCAGCTTGACACCCCTTTAATTGCAGTGCTTCAAATCCCAGGATTCCACAACATTGAGGCATGGCAGTTAAAGTGGGCTGAAACATCACTATTTCTGCAGTACAGGTGCAACCTTAGGTGTGTGTCACAATGGCCAGATCAAGGAATGGGTGCAGCTGGTGCACAAGCTTTGACTGTGCAAATGTTCTGCCAATGCTGAAACTTGAGCTAGGTGGACCTGGTTCTCTTTTTGGTTTGACATCCCATGATGAAAGTAAACTTAGAAAAAATGATCAGTGGATCGTTATGCTAAGTGTAGGCTAACAGTTGATATTTGATCCGAATTTAGTTTATAAATTACCTGTGCATATTTTTGCAGCCATTAATGTTACAGTGAATTTATCTCTTTTTCCAACTATGGAAATACTTTTTCTCAACTATGTAGTTGAGAAGTCTATCTTATATTCTGTTTCCTCAATGGGACTACTTATATAGTGACATGCTCAGCATTACACTATATACCTTTTTCCCCCAAAATAGTCTATACCATGATGGTACTATGGTACAGCTTAATTTATCTGATGCTAAAACCAAGACACAGTCCATCAGCTAAGAGTTTATCTGTTGGTAGCTTTAAATGAAATGGAAGTTGAGAGTGAATCACCTGTGGGATGTATGTGACCTGCCCCCTCTGCTCACTGTATTTTTGTTTTTATTTTGCTAGTAATAGCACAAAGGCAGTAGTGCTAATCATGCTTTAGTTCCCCTATATAACCCTGAACAGCCTGATATTTTTGCACCTAAGTATATGTTCAAATCCCAGCTTGGTCACAGAAACCCACTGGGTAGCCTTGGGCAAGTCACACTCTCTCACTCTCAGAGGACAACAAAGGTAAACCCCCTCTGCACAAATCTTGTAAAGAAACTCTGTGATAGGTTCGCCATAAGTCCTCCATAAGTTGGAAATGAGTTGAAGGCACACAACAGTAATGGTACTTGGTCCACCCCTGCCCTAAAGAATTAAATCCAGTGTCTTATGGGCAGTCAGGGCAGAGAACGTCAGGCTAATCTGGGACTTTTATGGCTGAAAGGCAGGGCATAAATACTTGAAATAGATGTTTATGCCCCCTCCCCACATTGCACACATTTCACTGCCCCTTAAACTATCCTTTCCTGCCTGCTGAGATCTAGAGATTCCTGGGGTTTAGGAGAGGTTTTTGCATTTCTTGTTCTTCAGGAAGATCAATGTTTCTGTACTGCTGAAGGTGAGTAGCTGAAGACTCCCCAATCATAATGGGGTAACAGTGATTTTCAGCTCTTAGAATATGGGTGAGCAAAGTACTGTACACCCTCAGAGCCTCCATACCCCCTAGATTTCCCCTTTTCAGGTTTAAAAAGGGTGAATTGCCTTTCCTGGAGCCTCCGGGAGTGACAGTTCACCTTTTAGATACCCTCCCACCCCCGTTTAATTTCAGAAATTGCCTGTTTTTCAAAACTAGAGGTGGACGTCCAGAAGTATATTTGGTTTTGGGGATTTGGGGGCATCTCAGAGGGTCCTAGGGTAAAAAATTGGCCCCTGGACCACTGTAGTTACCCACACATACCTTAGGGCCAACAAGCTTGTGTGTGCATAATAAAAGTCTATATGAGTAAGATTTTCTATATCTGTTAAAGAATCTAAGTTTCCTTATTATATGAAGAGGAAGTGCTTAATATAGTGTAGCATGGATATCCTAGACTCAAGAAAAATAATGGCAGCTTTGCACATAAAAATTCAAAAGTATCTGTTTCTTCTAATTTGCTTGTACATGTTGGAAACACGCATTAGACAGTGCTAAACCTAATGAGACGAGAGAGCAAACTTCCTGGTGTCAGATTGAAGCAGTAGAGGAAGTACATGAATTCTGCAGGGCCTTACCTTTTATGGAGACAGCGTTTAGACTGCATTTAGTCAGTGATAGCTGAACTAACTGGTATTGAAATCATAAACAAATTTTTAAAAAGAAAAGAAAATAACAGAAACAGGTTCTCTACAAGGAGACTTTTTAGTGTACACTTGTCTTCCCGATTCTCAGTGGATCCGTTCCAGGACCAACCCGCCCTGCAAATTAGAAAAAATGAAAATACCATTGGTTATAATGGCTGTCCCTCCTCGCTTGCTGTCTGTGAAGGACTGAAACCGTGGATGGCAAGTCCATGAA